GAAGCTAAAAGCCGTGAGCAAGGAGCGCAACAAGCTGGACCTCGCTGCCGCCAAGGCGCTCCCTAAAGCGCTGCACTGCCTCAACCTCAGACTCGCCGTGGTGAGCCTCATCCCAAATACCCCTGTTTCCCGTCTTTCCAGCTCACCACACCTGCGACCGCACAGAATCGTCGTCGACCTGCTTGCCTAGCTGCTGCTTGTTACCGTGTAAGCTTTCCACCCAATCCATGACGTTGAATCTTCATTGATTTGCGTGGCGTGTGGTAGGCGTATGGCAGCAACGAGCACATCAAGGAGGTCACAAGGGCGCGAGAGAGCAAGCAGGCGAGGAGGTTCGAGGACCCGTCGCTGTACCACTATGCACTCTTCTCGGATAACGTGCTCGCCGTGTCGGTCGTCGTCAACTCCACTATGCAAAACGCCAAAAACCCAGAAAAGTAATTTGTGAAGCAGCACGCACATCAGCTCTCTGTTGCAGCACTCGCCTGCCTGACATGCTGTTGGCGGGCCTCCAACGGTGGTGCACTAGCATGCGTGCATGGCCGCATGTCAGTTGCAGTTTGTGATGTTTCTGTGCGCATGCTCCTTACCCGCATCCATTTCTGTGGCAGGCATGTGTTCCACGTGGTGACAGACGAGATGAATCTGCCAGCCATGCGAGCGTGGTTCGCGCTGCACCCGCCAGGCAAGATGGCTCTGGAGATCAAGGCCGTGGAGCACTACTCGTTCCTCAACGCCTCCTACTGCCCCGTGCTGCAGCAACTGCAGGCAACAAGCCTCAAGGCCTTCTACTTCTCGCAGCAGGCAGCTGAAGGTCAGATGCTGCCCGGTTTGCGCTCGTATGTAGAGAGGAATGCCATGACAGCCTGCAGCAACCGCTATAATGTTGTGACAGCGTACAAGCACGTGCACCTGCATTCTATGTGCGTGATGACAACATGTTGTAATGCCCGTGCTCCGCTGATGTGCAGACAAGAAGCACGTTTCTGGAGGGGCGTCCGCGGAGGCAACAGCAGGCCCAACGCAGCTAAAGTTCAAGAACCCCAAGTACCTCTCCATGCTCAACCACCTGCGCTTCTACCTGCCCGAGGTGCGTCCCTGCCTTGCCTGCCATACCCGTACACAGCACTCCAGCGTTTGGTCCTGCCTCCACGTGCATGCACCAACCCTCTCTGTGTCCCCCCCGGTGGTCTGTCCATGCGCACACCAGATGTACCCAACACTCAACCGAGTGGTGTTCCTGGACGACGATATCGTGGTGCAGAGGGACCTTGCGCCGCTCTTCACACTGCCCCTGCACGGCAACGTGAACAGCGCTGTGTTCACGTGTGTGGGCGACTTCCACCGCCTCTTCAAGTACCTCAACTTTTCACACCCCTACATCAAGGAACACTTCGACCCCAACGCCTGTGGCTGGGCGTACGGCATGAACGTGTTTGACCTGCAGGCCTGGCGGCTCCACAACCTCACTGCTGTCTACCACAAGTACCAGACCATGGTGCGTTGGGGGCGATGTGGGGGGATGCATGGTGAAGGGATTGTGGGGGGGGAGGGTTGAATAATAGTTGAACTCAGCTCTCTTTGTTACTGTCAGCCCATGCAATGATCCCACCAGTCTCGTCTGACCCCACTTCTGTCCATCTGTTCTCTCTCTCTCTCTCTCTCTCTCTCTCTCTCTCTCTCTCTCTCGATTTCCCTATGGCCATTATGACTGCTGGGCACTACAGAATGCGGACCGGTCGCTGTGGCAGCTGGGGACGCTGCCCCCGGGGCTCATGACGTTCTACAACCGCACGCAGGCGCTGGACGCGCACTGGCATGTGCTGGGCCTGGGGTACAACAAGGACGTGCCCTTAGAGGACGTGCAGAAGGCCGCTGTTGTGCACTACAATGGCAACTGGGTGAGATGGGCTCTTAATCTCGTGCCATGACCGTTCTCAGCCTATCTCTCGTTCACTTGTTCCTTGTTTGTAAGTCTCGTGGCTTATCCTGATTTTTGCCTTAAATTCATTTGATGTGCTGTGCAGAAACCATGGCTGGATACTGCGATGAAGCACTTCAGGCCGTACTGGTTGGCATATGTGACTGCAAATGATGGCATTATACACAGGTGTAACGTGGATCTCAAGAGCTGAGGCCTGGGACACATGAAACGACGCATGAAGATGTTGAATACCATAGAGTTAGGTCACCACCCCCAAGTGCTGTCAAAGTCCCTCCAGAGGGAGAAGCTTGTATATAAGAGCACATGTTGCAATTACAGCTGCCCTCCCATCTAAAAATTAGAAGCGAATGGCCAGGTCAGGCAAACTGCGAAGCATGCAACCCAGATCTGAAGATTTTCATGTTCCAAATGCACCATGAGGCGAAGAAATTAGAGACCCTCCTCCATATATTTGGTTACGATAAGACAATTCTGCATCGGTGGATGGAATGCATTCGTTCATGACAGCCCGGATGTTGGTGTAAACACACATGCACCGATCCACATCGTAAGCTACTCAATTCAAATCCCTACTGAAGGACCACGCCTCATCACACCCTGCTGTCCTCCTATGAGGCTGTCCGCTCGCCCCTGCCTGCTTTCTTTGCCTCCTCCGCTGCAGCCTTCTCCGCCTCTATATCCGCCACTATCACCTCCACCTCGCTCTCTGCCAGAATGCGCAGCCCCTTGTCACGAGTCATCACTGCCACCTCGATGTTCTTGCCACCACTCTCCACCACCTGCACACACACCCCACACATCCACTCAATTATACTAGAAAACATCCGCCAAACCAAGTAGCATGTGTGAGCTTGCCACGGAAAGACGCTGCCAGGAACTAGTGCACTAAATCAAGGAGCAACTGCCCCCTGATGAAACCTTGAATGGTATGGCATGACATGACACGGCATGGCACAGTTGGGCACAGGACTGACCTCGAGCAAGGCCTTAACGGCAAGCTTGACAGTTTCGTCCCCATCAGTCTCGCTGTAGTTCTTCTCCAGGTACTCCCTCACTGTCTTGCTGTTGCGCCCCGTCGCATTCGCCTTCCACTCCGTGAACGTGCCTGCAGGGTCCGTCTGGAACAGCGACGGGCGCCCTGAGTGCGGGTCAAACCCGATGATGAGCGTTGAGATGCCAAATGGCCGCACTCCTCCACTCTGGACGCAGCGGCACGGCCAGGGGGAGAGAGGAGAGAGGATGGGTGGGCAGGCAGAACAAACAGTGAGAGATGTAGAGAACAAGACCACTACTGCTTTCAAGCACGCAGTTGTGCATAGAGGTGCAGAAACAGGAAGATGGCGCATGCGTCAGTATTGGCTCAGCACCGTAGCCGTGGCTGAGTGCATGTCCGCGAGGGGTGCACACCTGGGTGTAGCGCTGCTGCACGCCAGCGATGTAGCGAGAGATGTACTCCACGGTGACGGGGTCCTCCACCGTCAGGCGGTGGCTCTGGCACTCCACGCGCGCGCGGTTCACCAGCACACGTGCATCCGCTGTCAGCCCCGCGAACGCCAGCGCCACGTGCGAGTCCAGCCGGTGGATCTTGCGCACCGTGCTGAGAGCGGGAAGGCGGGTGGGGGATGGGGGGGTGGAGGGGATGGGAGGAGGGAAGCGGCGGAGAGATGACAGGGGCTGTGAGGAGACGCAAACAGTTCCATGGTGACCCATCTCACATGCTCCGTCTCACCAGGAGCCAGCGCCCCGTCTCACCAGGCCCAATCTCACCACGACCTACCCAACCCCCCCTCCTTTCTTCCCCCCCCTCTCTCCATCTCACGCGCCCCATCTCACCGCGCGTCTTGCAGCTTGGCGGTGGATTTCTTCTCGACGCCCAGCACGAGCGTGTGCGTGCCGCGCACGCCGACGGCCGTGGTGCCCTTGGACACGGCCTCCGTGGCGTACTCCACCTGGAACAGGTGCCCGTCCGGGGAAAACACCGTGATCGCGCGGTCGTAGCGCGCCATGCCCGCCGCCTGTCAACCTGCGCGCACGTGCACGGGTGGCGGAGCGAAGGCCTGAGGTCGCTGCGCGGACACGGAGGGGGTGGGCGGGACGGTGCGTAGAAGAGACGGGGCGGGGGAGACGTGGCGCGGCGAATGGGGGCGGAAGACGACAAAAAGGCGCGAGAGGGGGCGAAAGGGGTCAGGAACGCGGAAATCCATATGATGATGGGATGCATGCATGGCGATAAAAAGATGAGTTTATGCACTGACTGACAAATATGAGTTTATCCAGATGTATGCTTACCCATGTAGCTCAATACGCATCACAGTTTATACAGCCCCAGTGGACACCTGTGGCGTGACCTAGGTGATGCTGAGTGCCATGGCTCACGGCGAAGGGAGAAGGATTGGCATGAAAACACAGAATCTATACTGACTCATGGCCGCCACGCCGGGCGGCACACCAATCGACATGCGAGAAGAAATTCATAAAGCGGGGAATAACTTCCGACTGACGCCTGAATTGCAAGTTACGAGGCTGTGGGCAAGATCCGGACCTGAGATTCGGTGAGGCTGGGTGTCAGCACAACGAGATCGAACGACCGCAGATGCGTAACGAATTCCGGTTACTTCTTCCTGAAGTCTCAGCCCTTATGCGGTACGCGAGGTAAGGTGTCAGGGACAGGCCTAAATGAAGAGAGCAGCCTGACAATCCTGAGTCTGGGATCGAGGAGATCGGAGGAGATTAGAGGAAATGAGGCGAGCCGAAGGAATAAGCGACAGGTCAGGTAGTAGTGTGACATTCCTGGGAGCCTGCGATGAGAATTTGGCGATTGTGCGAAGCCGAACCACTGCGCTGGTTACAAAACCAGATTGACGATATGAGATCGTTGTGACGACGATATGCTGTGCTTCCCTTACAAATTTTTGAACCATAGAATGCAGCAGCAGTTCAGTTCATAGGACTACAGTTCCCTTGGGCAGCTAATGTCGCGTACACAAACCCCTCAAACGCTGGTGTTTTTTCAGTAGCCAGGCGACTCCATCCGTTCCTGTCGCACTGCCATCACATGGCCATGTCGCACGTCCTCGCACGCACAGCGCTGCCAGCGCAACTTCGCCGCCGTCCCTCCGCATGGGCCACTGACCACGTGGCGTCACACTCACCCCGCGTAACGTCTGATTTCACACCTCTCCTCCGCGCCAGCCGGGCCGCTTCCAGCAAATGGTCGGCCCAGACGACGGGGCTGCGCGCCAAGCCTCCCCATGGATCCCACTGGGGGACCAGACGACGGCTTGCGCCATGCACTGCCGTGGAGGCAGCGGGTGATGCGGTGGGTTTGGCGGGGGACAGGGTACGGGCGGAAGGGGAGAAGCGGAGAGCAGGCGAGCACTCGGGGAAAGAGGAAGCGGAGGGGGAGGATGGAGATGAGGAGATGAGCGAAGGCGAGGGAGAGGAAGAGGAGGATGAGGAGGAATATGAGGAAGACTGGGAGGACGAGGATGAGTGGGATGAAGACTGGGACGATGAGCAGGCGGAGGAGGGGGGCGGAGAGGTGCCGGAGTGGGAGGGGGAGGGCGTGGAGGTGGGGGTGATAGTGGGCGCGCACGGGCTGCGCGGCGAGCTGCGCGTGAAGCCGCTCACGGACTTCCCGGAGCAGCGCTTCGGACAGGTGCGCGTGGCGCATGCTGGCGGAGAGGGATGGGGGGAGCGCACATGGTTGCCACAGTCCATGTGCGCGCGAGTGCATGGTATGGCACCGATTCCAGCTTAACACACGGCGATTCACTACCATCTTTGCCCCAATCTCTCCCCCCACCTGTCCCTCTTCCCACTCTCTCCCCCATTTCTACCCCGTGCACCGCGTCTCCGCGACCCCCCATTCCCCCCTCGCTCTCGTTGCGGGCGTGGCGGCGGCTGCAGGGTGGCTGGCGCTGGTTGAAGCGCCCAGGCAGGCAGTCCGCTCCCTCCCCTGCTCCCGCTCCCGCAGCTGCGCCGCCGCCACCAGCAGCAGGAGAGGCGGCTGGGGAGGCAACTGCAGGGGAGGCGGCAGCAGCGGAGCAGCGCGGGGCGAGTATGAGGCGCGTGTGGGTGAGGGGCGGGCGGCCAGGCCCGGGGCGGTATGGGCTGTGGCTGGTGCGACTCAAGGACGTGGAGAGCACGGAGCAGGTGCGCATGCTCGGTGGACCCACGGGTGGTATGGGTGGGGTGGGGACGCGTGGCTGTGTTCTTGGGGGTCGTTGGGGTGATGCTGGGCGGTCCATGGCAGTATGCACATCGCCATGCCTTCCGCGTCTCGGTCCTTGCACCACCTCTCACATGATGCCATCGCTGTCCCCCAACCCTAACCAGCATGCTCGAACGGTCCTTCGTATTAATAGCAGCAAGTGACAAACAAGGCAAGGCATCAATCCAGACGGTTGCTAAGCCAAGCCAATCCAAACAAAGATACCACACCTAACCAACCCCACCCCTTTCCTACCCCTCCTCCCCACGGCTTTAACCAGCATGCTCTGCTCTCTCTCCTCTGTGCTGCTGTGATGCTGGATTGACATGGCACATGGGATGGCGTGGCATGGCAGGCGGAGGCGCTACGGGGCAGTGTGATGATGGTGCGGGAGGAGGATCGCCCGGAGCTGGCAGAGGACGAGGTGTACTCCAGCGACCTCATCGGCCTCTCCGTGCTGCTCAAGGTCTCCATGCCCCCCATCGCACCCCACTGCCCCTCGCCTCGCGCCTTTCCTCCCCTTCGCCCGCCCTGCACTTTTAACACCTCGTCCCCTTCCCCCTCATCCCATCCGTGCCCTGCTCAGTCCCCCCATTCTGACCCCCTTCCCCTTCTTCCCCCGCGCTGGGTGCACAGGAGGGTGGCGCGCCCATAGGCGTGGTGGAGGACGTGTACAGCGGAGGGGGCGCGGGGGAGCTGCTGCGTGTGCGCCTGCACACAGGGGAGGAGCCGGCGGCGGGGTCAGAGGGGGCGGCGGGGGGAGAGGCAGGGAGGAGGGCAAAGGGGCAGGGCGAGGGGAAGAAAAAACAGGGCAAAGGGGGCGGTGGCAAAAAGGGGAGCGCGAGTGGCGGGGCCCCATGCGTGTGGGGTGCCGTTTGTGCGCGCCATCGTGCCTGAGGTGAACCTCAAGCAGCGGCACCTTGTGGTGGACCCTCCTCCCGGGCTGCTTGACCTCAACCAGCGCCCCGCAAGCAAGGCAGAGCCGACGCCGGAGGAGGAGGGCGACGAGGGCGCGCGCAAGGGCATGGTCAGTGCGCGCATGCTGTGGCAGCAAGCTCTTCTTTCAGTTCTGTATGATACGCCACGCTCCCTCCTTCCTCCTCGTCCCTCTTCCACACTCCCTGTCACCCCCAGCCGAAGTCCTTCCACCAATTCCATCCCTCCCTTCCCCCCCTCCCCCCCCTGCCACCCCATCCCCCCTTTAGTCCGCCCGGGAGCGCAAGAAGCGGCAGCAGAGGAGGCGGCAGGTGGAGGAGCGGTACGGGCAGGCGGGGCAGCAGCACGTGCTGCACTGGGTGCACGCGGCCCTGCAGATGGAGAAGGCCGCAGCAGAGGCAGGTGCTGGCGAGGAGGGGGCAGGGAGTGCGCGAGCGCAGGGGCACATGCAGGGGCACGTGGACGTGGATGCAGTGCTGCAGCAGCTTCTAGCAGTGGACCTCAGGCGCGTGGCCCATGCCGTACACTCCGCCCTCACTCCGCGCGCACACACCGTGCCCCCCCTGCCCCAGCCCGTGCCCCTGCCCCACTGGCCGCTCCTCCTCGCACGTTCAGGTGGTGAGGCGGCGCTGCTGGGTGGCGCGGCGAGCAGTGAGGGGGCGGGTGGGGGTGAGGGTATGGAGGGAGAGGGCAGGCGGGCGGTGGGCGAGGGTGCAGTGGCGGTGGTGGCGCTGCTGGGGGCTGCTGCTGCTGCCGACGCGGTGAGGGAGGGGAGCGGCAGTGGTGCAGGGGGGGGAGCAGCGGGCATGGCACGGCGTGTGGAGGAGTACGTGCGGCGAGACATGGCGCGGCTGAGGAGGCAGATGGGCGCTGTGGACGCATGGAGGGAGGGGGCGGTGAGTGCCCTGCACATGCTGCACTCTTCCACGTGTTGCCGCACACACCCTCTTCCATGTGCCTTGCCTCACCGCGCCTCTCCTCGCCTCCCTGTTCTTGGTGTGTGAGCAGGAATCATCCCCCCTGCCATGGCTGCTCGTGGTGGACGAGACGGCATCACCCCTCACTCTGCACCAGTCGCTGCTCGATGCCACTGCACCATCACAGGTCCGCCGTGCCAAGCCAAGCCATGCCATGCCATGCCAAGCCATGCCATGCCATGCCATGCCAAGCCATGCCATGCCATGCCATGCCATGCCAAGCATGCCATGCCATGCCATGCCATGCCATGCCATGCCATGCCATGCCATGCCATGCCATGCCATGCCATGCCAGCCATGCCATGCCATGCCATGCCATGCCATGCCAAGCCATGCCATGCCATGCCATGCCATGCCATGCCAAGCCATGCCATGCCATGCCATGCCATGCCATGCCATGCCATGCCAAGCCATGCCATGCCATGCCATGCCAAGCCATGCCATGCCATGCCATGCCATGCCAAGCCATGCCATGCCATGCCATGCCATGCCATGCCATGCCATGCCATGCCATGCCATGCCATGCCAAGCCATGCCATGCCATGCCATGCCATGCCATGCCATGCCAAGCCATGCCATGCCATGCCATGCCAAGCCATGCCATGCCATGCCATGCCATGCATGCCAAGCCATGCCATGCCATGCCATGCCATGCCATGCCATGCCATGCCAAGCCATGCCATGCCATGCCATGCCATGCCATGCCATGCCATGCCATGCCAGCCATGCCATGCCATGCCATGCCAATGCCATGCCATGCATGCCATGCCAGCCATGCCATGCCATGCCATGCCATGCCATGCCATGCCATGCCATGCCAAGCCATGCCATGCCATGCCATGCCATGCCATGCCATGCCAAGCCATGCCATGCCATGCCATGCCATGCCATGCCATGCCATGCCATGCCATGCCATGCCAAGCCATGCCATGCCATGCCATGCCATGCCATGCCATGCCATGCCAAGCCATGCCATGCCATGCCAAGCCATGCCTCCTCTACGCCTCCTGCTCTCCCCACTTTCCCCCTTTCCCCTCAGCCGTCACTTGCCCACTTGCCTTTCCCCCACTTGCCTTTCCCCCTTCTGTGTTTTCGCTGTGTTTTTTCGTTTCTGCCTGCTCTTGGGTTGTCAGCCGTGTGGTGCCGCTTCACCAGGGTGTACGACACACAAAAGGCAGACGACAACCATCCACTGCAACTTCCCCCCACGTGCCGTTTGTCCTGTCTCTCCTCTATGTTCCCTTTCTCCCCCCCTCAGCCCACCTGGATCCCCCTCCCGCAATGGCCACTCCTCTCGCTCAACCCACCCACCACCACGCCATCCACCCCACCTCCACCCCCCTCCTCGCCATCCCCTGACTCCGCCTCCTCTCCTCCTCCGTTCCACCTGCTTCTCCGCCCCCTGCCACGGCCTGAGGCGGAGCCTGCAAGCAGTGCGGCGAGTGCGGCGCTGCAGGGGGCGTCGGGCGGGGGAGGGGGAGTGTTCCTGGCGCTCAAGGACGCGGCTGTGCTGCGCGGCCTCGCCAAGCAGGGCGTCAAGCACCTGCTGGTCAGCCAGGGGGGTGGGGGAGGGAGGGTGGGAGAGGAAAGGGGTGCGAGGGTGGTACTGTTGAGAGGTAAGGTGCAGATGCGTGGTGGTGAGGGCGGACGGGGCACAGGGGTCGTTTGATGCACGTGGCATGATGAGAATCACTGTGGGACTTGCATGGCAAGGGAGGTGGTCCAGGGTAAAGGGACGGGACTGAGTGATGATGCTGGGGAATGTCGTGAGCCAACTGCGGGAGATGATACACCGACCTCCAACCCATTGCTACTGCTGAAGAGCATGTCCTGATTCAACTTGTGCCTGTCCCTTCCCTCCCGCCTCTCTCTTCCCACCACCCCGGATTCTCTCCCAAGCAGGTGCTACTGCATCCGACAGCACAGCCTGATCCTTCCCTCATTGCTGCATGCATCCAGTCCAATGCTGACGTGGCAGTTGCTGCGTCAGCGAGCTCCGATGCCAGCTCAGCAGGAGTGCAGATGGAGAGTGGGAGCGGAGGGCAGCAGCAGGTACTGCGGGTGGCAGCTGTTCCATGCGAGCAGCAGGAGGAGGGGCATGCACATGGTGAGGATGGTAATGGGAGTGGGGCTGAAGACAGTGGCAAGAAGAAAGGCAAAGGCAAGGGCAAGGGCAAGGGTGATGAGAGGCAGTCCAGTGGAGTGAGGCTTCAAGTGCTGGAGGGCTGTGAGGGGGCGGAGGAGGCTGCCGCAATGCCTTCACACGTGCACTCCCTTGTGCTTCACTCAGACCAGCTGGTTGTTTCCATGAAGTTTCTGAAGTCGTTGGATCCGATGCAGCTGCCCTTCCAGCTGTTTGAACCATCACCCTTGGAGCAGCGCCTGCCAACGCCACATGCCGCAGCAGAGGTGGCGGCAGGGGGGGAGGCATGGAACGGGGCAGCAGATGGGGGTGTGGCGATGAGGCAGCGGGCAATGGACGTGGTGTGTATGACGGATGCAAGCAAGGTGAGAGCAGGGGCATGGCTCCTCTCGCACGGTAACTGCATGCTACTGGTTTGCTTCGCAGCTCACCTGTCTCTGGTGAAAGCCTCATTTTGCATGTTCTTTCTGCTGTGCTCCATTGCAGGTCGCTGTGTTGCTGCATGGGTCGTTGCCAAAGCTGTAACACCACCCACCCCACCATCGCCATGCCTGCTGCGCCGACACATGACACATCACTCATCATAGGTTGCTAGCGCCAAGTGATGTGCTGTTTGAGATTCCTTGAGGTGTTCCTTTTCTTGCGCCGATATAGGTAGTTGCAGAATGGTGCAGCATGCACACATTATTGAGCTCCTTGGTGTTTTCCATTTTTGGCGAATATATGATTGCCATAAGGCTCCTACGGTAATTCAATATGTAGATGGTGCTTTCCAGCCAGCCTCTTGACCTGCTATGATTTGTCAACGCGTACAATGAATACGATCAGCGGGTACAGTGTGCGACGGGGAATCTGAATCCGAGCGTCGCCTGTGCGACGCCTTTTCCCCTTGCTCGCCCTCAAAGCTGCTCCCCTCCGCATGCTCATCCCCCTCGTGCTTGCCTGCTCGCCCCTTCACCGCTATTGCTCTGCCTCCCCTCGCTTGCCTGGCGACCTCTCACCCACCTCGCTCCTCCTCTCCTCTCAGCGCATCTCCCATGCTGCTCGCAGTCGCCGCTCCAGCAGTCATGGCGGGTCCTCCGCGCATCCCCTCCGCACTGCGCATCCCGCTTTTCTCCTCGCTCTCCTGCGCCTGAATCTGCCTCTGCACCGCCCTGCGTGGCCCATCACCCCTAAATCCCGCTCCGTTACGCACCGCCCGTGCGAGATCCGCGCATCTGCGCTTCCGCCTGACGGCCTGCATCGCGCGCATCCGCCATCGCCGCGCTCACTCGCCCCGACCGCACATCGTGTCGTCGTCTCTTGAAAGCCAGCCACCACGGCGACTCCACGCGCGGTTAAGTCCGCGCCGCATGTCGCTGGAGGACACCAGCGGCACGGCGGCGTCCGCAGCGGCGACGGCGGGTGGCAGCGGCGCAGGCGGGAATGCAGAGGCGATGGAGGAGGAGGAGGGATCGCAGGGCGACGGTATGGGTGGCATGGGCGGCGGCAACGGCGGGGGGCAGCAGCGGCGGCGACGGCAAGGCGTCGCTGGGGGAGCTGCGGAGCCGCGGCGAGTGGAGCCGCGAGGCGACGGCGGTGCTGCTGGAGGCGTGGAGTGACAACTACCTAGCCTCAGACCAGGGCAACCTCAAGGCGGCGCAGTGGGAGGAGGTCACGTCGCGCGTCAACGCGCGCGGTGGCGGGAGCAAGGCGGCGAAGACGGTGGTGCAGTGCCGCATGAAGCTGGATTCGCTCAAGAAAAAGTACAAGGCGGAGCGCCTGCGATGGCGCGGGCTCAGCCGGTGGGAGCACTACAAGAAGCTGGATCAGCTCATCGGCGGCCACAAGCGCGTCGCGGGGGCGGGCGGCAGCAGCGCCGCCGCCATGGGCGAGGATCTGGAGTCGTCGGGCGTGGGCGGGGGCGGCGGGATGAGCTCCGGCGGGGCCACTCTCCCCGCCACGCCCGTCTACCCCGCCGTGGCCTCCGCGCCCAGCCGCCGCGATGTCCGCAGGGGGGCTGGGGCGGGTCCGCCATGGGGCACGGTGATGGGCATGCCGCCGGCGGACGGCACCTACTTTCTGCACAACATTGCGGCGGGCGGCATGGCCGGCAGATTCGTGGGGGGCGGCAACGGCAACGGCGTGCTTGTGCCGAGCGGCATGCCTCCTCTGCCCGCCGTGGGCATGGGGATGGGGGGCGCGGGCAGAGGGGGCGTCATGGGGGCCTCTTCCGGCGCTGGCGGCCCCCCCCGCCCATGGGGGTTTTACCCGGGGTTGGAATGGGCGGCAGCGTGTATTTAGGCACGGGGGGGCCCGTGGGCGCGGGGAGAGGTGGCGCAGGGGGCTTGGGGGCGCGCAACAGCATGATGTGCGCGGGCCCGGGCGGGGGCAGTGACGAACGGCGACGGCATCAAGTGGTCCGCGGGCCCCATGGACCGGCAGGGGGAGTGCGTGGGGGAGGGCGGAGGGGAGGTTAGAGGCGCGGGAGGGATGGGGATCGGCGGAGTACGCTTGGGCGGGCTGGCGGGGCAAGCGGGCCCGTCAGCGGGGGCGGTGCTTGGGGGAGGGGCCGCGGGCGGGGGCGGCGGTGCGGCCCCCTGATGCCTGCCTCCGCGGACGCCTTTCCCTCGCCCCCCTTCTTGCCCACGGGCGCACCTCCCGCCGCATTTTCTGGCAGGCCGCGCACAGGCGTGGAAGGCGGGGGTGACGTGGCGGTGGGTGAGAGCCCGGGATCAACGGCGTGCAACCGAGGGGAGGGCAGGGCGGAGGGCGAGGAGGACGAGGACGACGAGGAGGACGAGGAAGAGGACGAGGAGGAAGAGGGTGGTGGGGAGGATGCAGCAGGGGCGGTGGGGCAGTATGGGCGAGCGGAGGGCGAGGGAGGAGGAGGGCAGGGCGGCGGGGGGGGCTTAGGGGGGCCTGCATTGCCCAGTGGGGTGGGCGCGGCAGCAGGGGCAGGGGGGGAGCGGCAGAAGCGCATGCGGCGGTGGAGAGGGGGCTATGAGGGCAGCCGGCGCATGCCCAACGGGGCCGCGGATGCAGGCGGGCAGGAGGGTGGCATGGGGGGCATGGCTGGTAGTATGGGGGGCATGGGGCATCCAATGGGGGGAGTGGGAGCAATGGGTGTGGGCGAGGCGGCAGCGGCGGCGGTGGTGGGGGCGGGTGAGGACTCGGTGCGAAGCCTGGCGGAGGCGATCAGCAGTTTCGGCGAGCTATACGCGCGTGTGGAGGTAGAGAAGCAGCGGTACCTGATGGCCCTGGAGCAGCGGCGCATGGAGTTTCAGCGCGAGCAGGAGGCGCGCAAGATGGAGATGCTGAGGGACATGGAGGTGCGGCGCATGGAGATGGACATGAAGTTCCACCTCGAGCTCGCTAAACTCGCCTCGCCCTCGCCCTCGCCCACCACGCACCTCCCACAACCCCCCTCCTCCTCGCCTTCCCCTGCCGCTGCTGCCGCTGCTGCTGGCACCGCGTCTACTACCCCTCCCGCGCATGCCCATGTGCGCGGGGCACCTGCTCCGTCGCCGGTGCCGTGGCCGCTCTCCTCCCCCCGCCGCGCCATCCAGCACCACGTGCCGTCGCCCATGCCCGCCGCCCCACGGCATCGCACCACCCCAGTGCGCCCCACAGCGGCCTTGCGCACGCCCCATGTGCCAGCCCTCGCCCACCGCACACCCTGCGCCCGCCCACCCGCACTCCAACCCACCGGCGGCCCAACGGGGCTCGTCACACGCGGCATCACCATCGCCCGTGGCCCCCATGGCCCACATGGCCCCCATGGCCCATGGGGGGCTGGACTCGCGCCCCACTGCTGCAAGCAGTGGCGGGGCGGAGGGCGGGGCAGATGGCACGGAGCATGGCGGGCGCGAGGAGGAGGGGCATAGTGATGAGGAGGGGCCGTGCGGAGGGGAGGGCGCGGAGGAGGAGGGGCAGGATGCGTTGGAGAGACAGACGTCAGAGGAGGGCGATGGGGGCAGCGAGCAGGAGGAGGAGGAGGAGGACGATGCAGAGGCACACTCAGACTCGCCCAGCTAGCCATGCACGGCCCACCGTGTCCCCACTCACCACCTCACCTGAGGTTTCCCCTCGTTCACCTGCCGCTCGCCGCCCAACTCGCCTCTCCTCCCCGCCGTTCCACACCCCTTTGGCTTCCCCCGGCTCCCACACTGTGCAGCATGAGCAGCAGTATTTTCCACCTTGCCGCATGTGCCTGTATGGCAGGGCTACCAGGGCCGCACACCACACCACACCACATCCATGCACACAGATCACAGCTTCCCATACCGGTACTAGGCTGCACGTGCTCCTGATGAGATATACCGTATGCCGCGTTGCACACGGCACTGCAAGGCCGTTGTTGAGCCAGGGAGCGATTCACATGTGATGACATTCGGCGGGTGCGTGTCAACCGTCACTCTCCAGTGGTCTATAGCTGCTGCAGTGTAGGGTGTGCCTAGCCTAGTCCTTGCATGCATGTGGTACACATGGCTTACAGCCATAAGGCATAGCGCCCACCTAGGCCAGATTGCAATTTGATGCCCAGTTGTGTTGCCAGTTCATAGGTATGATCAATTCTTACCTTGGAGAGCACACTGACTCGGTGAAATGGAAAAGTCTCATTACAGATCATTCTAGCCTGACAGGAGCATATGGTACACACCATACGG